CTGTTTACTAAATCATATTCAAGTTTTCAAAAAAGATGAGTTCAAAACCTATTGAGCATAGCAGTCATTGCGTTGAGACCCAAATGAATACAAAATATTAAGAAAAATCCAAATGCAGGCCAATAGAAGTGTATGAAATGCACATACGGCGGTATATAAATACATGGTATGCTAACAATCAATGTGCAGGCCTAAAAGGAACGCAAAAATTCAGAATGATACTTGTGTCAGGTGTTTCACGTTATCTGTTCCATTCCTTGAACAAAAAAGCCTGGATTTTTTAATGTCATTTATTTCAAAGCTTTTTTTATGTAACCAGCTTTACAAAAAATAAAATGAAAATAGCTCTCTCAGTGTCCAACAGCATATTGCAACAGAGTTTTGTTTCCCATCCTTTTAATTTCTTTCTTTTTTTTTTTTTTTTTCCCAAGGTATCTTTTTTATCTCTTCAGCAGTCACCAGTTGTTTTCATGGGTTTTTGAAAGAGAAAACTGAATCCAGGAAGTCCAGCAACAGCATGATTTAAAACTGTTGACTTTTACAAAAATGTGTTAAAAAACCCCACCCCCTCAGAGCATAGAATTTTAGCTTAGCACAGCACTTTCCCCCAGTGTAAAGAAAACAGCATATTCATACGCAATACAAAGCCAGTTTTAGCTGTGTATTTATTAAAAATATAATTATGTCAAATCAGGACTTACTAGAAAAATAACAACATAGTATGCCAGAGTTCAGATAATAGTGGTGCTTCATTGCCAGCTCTAAGGATACAAGACCCTGAAGTCCAAAGCAAATGTACAAAGTACAGGTTTTCTCAGAACTGCTTATTCAGGGACGATTTCTGAGAATGAAAAACTGAAAGGAATTTTGGTGCAATTCTGGGTACATTTTTGTATAGCAGCTTTTCGAGCTGGGGAAGTCTTACCCTAACATCCTACAGTATTTCAAGATGGGCTAGTTTCATAGTGACCTCCCAGCCCCAGGTGCAGAATGCTGTTCAAAAGGATCTGCCATTGAGAGTTCCAACTAAATGAGTTTGGGACTTTTCTGGTCAAAGACTCAGGCCATAATACAAAGGAAAATAATAACATTTTTCCTTGGAATGTTTCAACAGGTATTTTTTTCATATGCAATTTGCAGATGATGGCATATTGTACAGCAATGCATACTGTTTCCAGCTGCTCTCCTGTCGCCTGCACTCTCTCTGTGCAGATAACCTTAGGTTTCACGTATAAGGCAACTCCTATTATTTTCTGTCCAATTTTGGAGAGGGAAGGACAGAGGAAATAGGACAAAGCAGTATTTAATTCATATTGCTATCTGGCAAACATCAAAGAAATTGTGTTAACTCCTGTTTAACAGAAACTCTGGTCAGCTGGGAGGAAACACGATGCCTGAAGAACCTCTTGGGGAGGTACATGAAAACATGCATGCATGGCTTCTGAAGATAAAGAATACCCTACTGTTATTTTTTATCTCCAAGTTAAGCTGTTGCTTAAACACTTCATCTGAAGGCTCCAGAAATTGGAAATCTGTGCCAATTTTTATTTAAACAAGAAGTATATCAGGTGATAAAGTTACACATGATGATTAGAAAAGGAGCAGAAGTAGTATGAAATATCTTTGTAATTAATTAACCCCTAGTCATTGTTAGGCTTTCATGATCAATTAGTAGTTGTAATTGGTTTTCATTCCATAGCTAACAGCACGTAACATGGAGCTAACATCTCATTGATAGCCTCTCAATGAGGAAGGAAGAAAATTCACTTCTCACTTCATGAAATACCTTTGAAAATGAAGGCCTGGGACAACATGCTCTCAGTATGTCTGTTACTAAGATTTTGACACTTATGTGTTTGACATTCTGCTGTTTCATTTGCAAAGTTGTTGCCACTTAGTTGATGGAAGGTAATTAAATTGTTCCATAAAATGAACACTGAAAAATGGTAGTGCCTTTATTGCTAACTCATCAGTGCAGCAGGATGACCCAGTAAAGATGGGTGATACTGAGAAATTGGTAAATTCCCATGCATTGTCTGAGTAGTGCTAAGAGCACAACCTGCTAGCAATGAGAAATCCAAGGTGCACCAACTCAAGGCACGCCTGAGGACAGCAGCTTAGAGACCTGCAAGTCATAGTTCTTTCCCTAGATGGTTTTCTGCATGAAGGTTATCTAAATAACACTGTTGTTTGTTTTTTTTTATCGTTCCCCTCCAGGCTTGCTTAAGTCAGCACAGCCCATGCAATGACTGACTTTCAGTTGATGGTGAAACTACAGGCAGGCCTTTCCCCAGCAGAGAACAATTTTTGGCAAATATCCTTTCCCAGAGTCCACCTTTAATTTTAAAAATTGCATAGCACTTGGTGGGAGCTTTTCACTTGATTAGGGTCTACAACAGATCTCTTCTCAATGAACTCTGTAGCAGCAATTGTTGTTGAAAATTGATGCAGACAGGTTAACAACAAGCATACATACTTAGTTGAAATCTATAGAGAACGTATTTTAAAAAAAAGTAACTTATGTGCTTGGTAAAAGATTTTATTCTGTTGTTGATTCTTTCTGTTTTTCTGAGGTTGAGATATTTAACTATTAAAGCATTTGTTGGGGCTTTGTTACAAAGTGAATAATGAGCCAATTGTGTTTCAAAGCTGATAAGCTCCATGTAGAGCCTTCTGTTTCCAGCCTACAGAAATGCCACTAAGACTTCTTGTATGTCTAGAGCTAAGAAAACATCCGGTCTTAATTAATTAAGACTCAGCTTCGTAGCAGAAAATCAACTAATTCAGAAAATTTGAAATACTAGGTGACTATTATTGGCAGTTCATTGTTATTTGACCCCTTGTGTTAAGCAACAATAAAGCCTGCAGTAGGAAGCGATGCGTTTATTTGTAATCCAAAGTGATTCCTAAGAATGTCTTTGTTAATGCAGGAATCAACGGCAATTAATTGTGAACAATAGTGGAAAGAACACATTAAAATAATAGTTCCAGAACATTATTTCACCTGGAAAGAAATGTTAGCATTTCCTTCATCCCTAAAACCTGTCAAGCAAGAATTATTTTTATGAGTAGTTCACAGTGGAAAACTATAAACTGGAGATTTTAGGCATATAGAGAGGCTGAATAAATTGTGGCTTTGTTCCTTACTCCCAGGTGGCCAAGCAGCATTTGTTAAAGCACCCTGGTTAACAGCTGTAAACAAAGCTCTTCTGGCAGTTGTCCTGACCACAGGTAAAGAATAACAGGCTCCAGCTGATGTGAAAGCCCCAAGTTTATTATAGATCACATAGAAAAGCATAACATCAGGTAAATGGAAAAAGGGTGCTTCACATACCTACCTGTTGGCCAGCTCTAAATAAGTCAATGCTGGTACTCTTGATTTCAGACCCGCGTCATTTTTATAAAATCCAAGGTTTCCTTAACAATGCATTAGTCCTAGAAATTGTGGCCACACTTTAGCCCTTATCTATATCACATCTAGTCCATCTACAGGGCCAAGGCATTTCCTTGAGCAGGGAATACCTACACCTGCACATTCCTTAACTGTTAGCTACCTAGCTAATTCACTTTTAAACCACTCCAACAGTCTGCAGACCAGAAAAATCTGCTGTTCTGGGAGCTAATCAAATCCTAAACAGGTGGACTTACTCCCATCAGAAATCAGTCCAGGCCCTTCTTCCTTGCTAGCACTGTGGATGCAGCTATGCCACCTTTAAACTGTGGCAAACTTAGATGGCGCTTCTGTGTAGAATCTCTATCCCAACAGCTGATAATGTGAAGAAGGATTGCATACAAGCAGACATTAATATGTTCTGCAATTTCACCTAGAAGTTTCCATTTTCTGGCTCTAAAAATGCCAGAGACAAAACATTTCTATAGAATCTTAGAATGGTTTGGGTTGGAAGGGACCTTTCAGATCACCTAGTTCCAACCCCCCTGTTATAGGCAGGGACACCTCCTTCTAGATCAGATTGCTCAGAGCTCCATCCAGCCAGACCTTGAATGCTTCCAGGGAGGGGGCATCCACAGCCTCATTGGGTAAGCTGTTACAGTGTCTCACTGCCCTCACAGTAAAGAATTTCTTCCTAATATCTAGCCTAAATGGGTAAGTCCCTATTTCATCCAGGAAGCAAGCGGGATTGGAAGCCCCTTCTCCTAGCCTTCTTCCCGCCACTCAGCCAGACCTCTGCTGGGCTGTTCTCTGCACAGTGTGGGGTTGGAGTGGAGACTGTCTCCCCACTCCTTGTACCAAAGTCTACAAAAATCCTCACTAGGTCACTTCTAAGACCAAGTTTCAATGTGCTGCATTGAAAATATTATTGTCAAGAAAGTTAAGGACCAGGCATAAAAACGAAGCAGGGCTTCAGAGAGGTTTGCTCATGAAGGGCAACTGAAATAGATGAAATACCAGGCTGGGAGCAACCATGCAGCAAAACTGGGCCTCAAATTAAAGGCAGTGTTGCAAAAGCATGCTGTGGGTTGCATGCACTGCTGTCGTAAGGAATAAAAACTTGGAATCACTGTACACATTTCAGTGAATTCTGGACTAGTTAAAATGACATTTGAAAACTTCTCTAATTAATCATCTCAACCATCTGAAAAATAGTGGTGACTGCTCCAGGTCCCTCTCAATTCCTCACCCACACTCTCTATAGAAACTATTTCACTTGTCCTACTTAAATGGAATTTCTTTTTCCTACTTAAAAAAAAATATATATATATGTGGATGTATTTTTCTCTTTTAATAGAGCTCCCTCCCTGAGAAAGCATACCACTAGCAAAGGAGAGGTTTGTAATTTCTACAGATAGAGAAATATGGACATAAGGAGCTGAGCAGGATCACGACCTCCCTTTTAGAAATCTCCTTGGCAAACCTGGCAACCACACCTCTTCCTGTCACAGAAAGGAGATTTCTCCTGGTAAGACACCACGTACACGTGGCAGAGGTGGGTTTAATGTGGTCTGTGAACTTCGTATAACTGTTGCCACCTGATTTCCTTCTTGCCCTTTGTTTTGGTCTCCCATCACACCTTCCCCAAAGCTGGAAATTGAGTAAGATGTGTTATTGTTTGTGAGATGTTGGCAGAGTGTCTGACAGCAACGGCACAGACCCTGGCTGAATTCTTGAAGCCGTATCCCTGCTGCCATGCACCAAGGCCTGGCAGCAGCAGCGCCAGAACACGTCTCGGTGAACGCTGCAGAGTGAGCCCGGCAGAGGGGAAATTCCTCTCCTTGCTGTTTAGAATCTTTTTGCAGAAGAAACCAAGGGATAACGACTCCAAAAAAATAACGAAAGAGTTCTGCGAGCTTTTCAATGGCCTCTGACGGCCGGAGCAGGTTGTCGACACCGCGGGGCACTCCACCGCCCCGAAGCCGCCCGGCACCAGGAATAGGAATTAGAGGCAAAACCCAACCGAAACGTGAAGGCGCTGCAGGCCCGGGGCATGGGGGACCCGCTCGCCCTCGGGGTCTGGCCTCCAGCCCTCAGGGCGAGGAGGGGGCAAAGCGCTCCCGCCACTGCCCCCGCGTGCCGCGCCGGAGTGCAGGAGCTGCGGTGAGGGGGCACGGCTTCGCCGCCACGCCAGCCGCCGCCCGCCCAGCGCCGGGCCGGCTGCTGAGCCGCCCAGCGGCCCCCAGGCGGCGGCGGCGGCGGCGACCGGGGGAGGTGAGGAGGAGCCGCCTGCGCGGCCCAGCGGCGGCGGGCGGGCCGGACGCGGCGAGCGAGCAGCCGCGGGCCGCGGCGGGGAGGGCAGAGCGGCAGCCGAGCCCGCAGCGGCAGCGCCATGGCCACCAAGGTAAGCGGCCCCCGGCACGGCGCGAGGGGCGGCGGGGGGCGGCTCCGGGGCGCCCCCTGCGCCGAGCGGGCCCCGCCGAGGGGTCGGCGGCCGTAGCTCCGCTCGGGCACCGAGGGAGAGAAGGAGGGTTGCGTTTCGGGGTCTGCGGAGCGAGTCCCCTCCCCGGGCCTGCCCCTCGCCGCCGGGCGGGGAGGAGGGGGCTACCGCCGTGTCGCGCCGCGCTCGGGCCTCGCCGCCGCCCGGCCGCGCGCAGGGCTCGGAGGGGCAGCGTCGGCTCCGAAGTTGTTTTCTGCTGGATTTCCGCCTCTCGCCTCGCCCGGCGCGGCTGCGGGGACAGAAAGCGGCTCGAGGCCGGGCTGGTGCCGCCCCGCGCCCCTGCCCTGCGGCTGCCGGGCTGCGCGGAGGGAAGGCCTGCGCGCTGCTGGGCCCGGCGTCCCGGCTGCCCGCGCCGAGCCGCGCCGCCTGCCCCATGGGTGGATGCGAGGCTCCCAGGGCTGCGGCGGCGCGGCGGGCACGGCTGGCGTGGCAGCGGCCGGGCTGAGGGCTGCTCCGCACGGGGAGCTGCGGGCCGGGGAGGCCGTAAGGGCCGGGGCAGCTCTGCAGGGCTGCGGCGTGTGTCTTGTTCTATGGGTGGCAAGGTCTAATTGAGAGGGAAAAGAAAAAGAAGGAAGTGAAATTGTTTTGCATTGTTCTTCAACAGTATCTGCTATTAACACAACAGTCGAAATTAGCCCATCCTATCTGAAACCAGTCTCTTTCTAAATTAACAATTCTTATTTACTATATTGGTTGATGAAAGTGGCGGTGCTGTTTTGTCTCTGCTCGTGTAGATGGGTAAGCGTCATCTCCAAGCTGTCTAAATATTGCAAGAGGCTTTTCGGTATTTGGAGTAATACTTTCAGTCTGATCCGATTCCGAAACTTGCCCAGCCATGCAAACACTTTGTTTTACCGAGGCACCTGTCGTACAGCATGCTGTTTGTGTGGTGTTTCCCAGTATCAGAGAATTCCTGCATCTTCATTGGGTAGGATTTGATGGCTAAGTAACAGTCTCCAGCTGTCTGAGCAGAGGGTTACTCACTCATGTTTCAGTAAACCTTTTTAGCTGCACCTAAGAAGTGGTGTAGGTTTCAACATCATTAATGCAGTTGAAGAAGTATTAATACAGTGAAATTTATGGTCTGTACAGGTTTTTAGAATATTGTTAATGGACTTGGTTTTATTATTGGTGGTTTCCACTGTTTTGAGGGCTGTGTGTCTGAGTCATGTGGAACTACTCACACAACTACACACGTAACTACTGCAGGTAGCAATAAAAATAAAATTACAGGTGTAGATGTAAAGCATAATACACGGCATGCTAAGGAGACACTGTGCTCAAATGGTTTATGTTTTTTGTTTTTTTTTTTTTTTTTTTTTTTTTACCTCACTTAGGGCTGCAGCATCTATCCTTGTGAGATCTCATAATGCTGTTTTATCCATATATATGGAAGTTTTCGCTTCACTTTTTGTGAAATAAATTGTTGCAGTCATTATGGCCTTAGAACAAAGGACATGTCACTTCTCATATACTAGCCAGAACTGCACTGAAATCAGATGGTGCAAAATTTTTTCATTCATTTTTCACACTTTGCGAGAAACAGTAATTTTATTGCATGTTAAAATTGGAAAGTGATAGCAAAATTTTGACATCTTTTTGATATTATTATCTCGATTAGCTGTTAACAGAGCATGGCTGAAGAGAAGCTTGCTATATTTTCTTTAAGCTTCACCCATGAGTTAGGTCCCTTTCAGCTAATTATCCTGCTGTGGATTTTAATTTGCTGAACTTGTTCAAATGTCAACTGTAATAAAGGATACCTTTTTTTAATGGTGTAAGGGAGTGACAGGCTCAGTAAACAGCCTTTAGGAACTTGGCCAACTAACAAGTTACCATTTCACTTGGAAATTGTTTTCCTTTTGAAGTAGCAGACATGTTTGCCACCTTCCACTTGTTCTCTTTCTGAAGCATATCGGAATTATACAAGAAAATGTTGACAGAATTGAACTGTAACTGGTCACCTGGAGCATGAATTTCAGAAACGTCCATGACGTGACAACCTGTATAGCTAGTGGGGATGACTGGCAGTCAGGCGTGGCCTGCACTGCGCAGGCTGTTAGTGCTTCCTGAACTAACTCCTGTTTAAACTAGAACATACTTTATGAGGAGAAAATGGAGAAAGTTTGTGAACTCTGGCCAGTCTTCTTGCCTTCCTCTGTGATAAACCGTGCGGTTTAAGTTCCCAGAGAGCTCTGAAGATGTGGTTTAATCTTATCATCTCTAGCTCTTCCCTGCACCATTTAAGCTCATGAGATTTCTTACTGAAATACTACAATTTTCTGGGGAAATAACTACTATTTTCACGCAAAAAAAAAAAAAAAAAGCCTCTATTGATGCTCTCCCGATGTATTAGTTAACTGGCAGCAGGGCAGGGATACTGTAGGCCCCACATCCTCTGAAGGCTGTCGGGATTCAGTCTAGTGGTGGGAGCTGGCCTCACAATCACTGCTGCTCCTCCTTGTGCTGATCCTCTGTTGACACTAACGCTTGTCAGGCCTGTCCTTGAGTGACTATAACTTGCTAAAATAGCAAAAGATTAACTAAGGGAGAGCAGTGGAAAAGTTTAGACCAGTTCCATCTGATGAAGTAGGTAAAAGTTTGCTCAGAGCAGATGCAAAAGGTTTGGTGCAGGTGCAGAGGGGGAGACATTCATGGTGAAGGCTGGGAATATAACTGGAGAGCAGAAAACAGTGGATGTGAGACTTCTGTTGGCAGTTCTTAGGTTAGCTGGATCTTTAACTGTAACTTGGCAGCAGCCTTTCTGGTTTCCTAAGGGCTTGCACAAGGCCATGTGCTCTAAAAGCTGAGGCAAGCTTTAAAAGAAATAAAATTGGGTTGTTTAGGGGATCCCAGCTTCCCAAATTTCACAGCAATTTAACTGAACCAAACATAAGAGAGAGGCATATCTGTGTTTAAGAACTGATAACTCTGGATATGTTAGTCTGGATGCCTCCTTCAGTAACGGAGTTGAATTTATTAATTCCTAATTCTTGACTGTGCAATAAAAAGGCAAAATGTGCTTGAGCTTAAAAGTGTGTAATGAAGTTTAAAAAATTTCCAAAACCCAGTTACAAAGAAAATGAAATATCATAAATGTATGTCTCTGATAGATGCTTGAAAAAAGTTGCCAGTCAGGTTCTCTCATTCTTAATGCTTCTGTGCTTTCTTTGCTTCTTTGGCCTTTCCTCTTTCCCTGCTGCAGTTTGCGAAGTCCCAGCTTTATTCATACCCTTTCTTTTGTTTTTGAGGTTCATTGAACAGGGAGAGCCACAAATGTCAGGAAGTGACATGCTGACTTTTAATTATGTGCTCCCTACCGCCGTTTATTTTTAGAGGTGTTTGTTTAAAAAGGTAGGCAAGTCCATTTCTTGCAAAAGCTGATGCTCTGCCCTTTGCGAAGCCAAAATTTCAGGATGATATTGAAGGAATTTGGTAGGTGAGTGTGTGTGGATGGAACCTGCACTGCTAAACAATGCACAATGAGGGGTTTAATGTTTAAGGAGGAGACAGGAGCTTGTCAACTGATTTATAGGAGAAGGGCTGTTGAAGTTGGTGAAATTACTTTCACAAGCGAGCCAGGCAGGTATTAGTAACCTTCACTAGGTTTGACTCCAAAAATCCACCATTTTTACTTTGTAACATCAGAGACACCTGTTATTTCATCTTGATGTTCTTGATTCTTCACTGGTATGTCTACTTCAGGAACTCTTACTCATTTGTTTATGATTCTGTCAATAGGTCTGGGCCCTTTTTCAGGGGAAGAAGTCCACTGATGTGAAAGATCTTAGGCTGGATATTTTGTTCTTAAAAGAAAACAGATATAACTAAAAATACATAAATTTTTGCTGTTTTAGGCTTTGGAATTGCTTTTGTGAATGTCATTAGCTACTTATATTTTAATTTAGCATGATTCTTCTGCTTGTGCTGAGGGAAATTGTTTTATGTCTGAAAATACCAGATAGGAAAAAATAGAATACTTTGGACTTAGATTATCTTTTTTTTTCTGCTCTCCTACTTGTGTAAGGCTCACCAACAGAAGTCTCACATTTTTGTTCCTATCATTGTGAAGCTGTTTGTATGTTTACATAATGAATCAGGCAGAAACAATTCTTTGTTCTGATTTGCAGCTGGGAAGGGAAATATTCCTCTGTGCCAAGTGCTCCAAACTTTGCATTATGTGAGTCTGCCTTCTGCATTGTCCTGACTTTGACAGTACAGAGCCTGTTCTGGGAAATTTTATCTTAGGAATTCAGTTAATCAATCTTAATATTATTGGTGAGTTGGGATGAACTTATACTATGCGAATCA